AAAAAAACAAAACAACAAGTTGATGTATAGAAAGCTATTTTTTTATTCTCGTTATATTTATCTATTTTCTTATTATAAATATATTATGGATATACATATAGTTGTGCATTAAATAGTAAGAGTAGATTGTAAGTTTTTTATTATGAATACATTATGTATATATATATATATATATTCTTTTGTATTTTTTTTATTTGAAGAGAATTTTGCTTAGTTTAGTTTAGTCGAATTTTTTTTGTATTATTATATAATAAAATAATAAACCATAAAAAGAAAAAAAGAAACAAAATTAAAAATAATTCCATTCATAAGATTTTCTTTTTTTTTTTTTTTTGTAACAAACTAAATGTGTAAATGATGTAAGTTCAATAGATATAGGTGACAGGTGAAAGTGAAGAAGGGGGCAATGTTAGGTTGCAGTAAAATAAAAATGAGTTAGACAGGACAGGGACGAACATGAAAATAGGGAGCTGGAGAGAATTTAACAGGGCCTGTTACTTCAGCTCAACGGTAACTACGGTAATGTAGTGAGGGTGGGTAGGTCCAAACCGACCAACAAGGACAGGGACAATACGAAGAAGAAAAAAAAAAAAAAAGAAAAAAAAAACTGGTAGACACAGGGTATTAATATTATATAAAATTACTATCATTGATTGTAAATTTTTTTTTTTTGAACCAAATTCTCTGGCACGATTTTTCTTTATTTTTTTTGTTACGGTTCGGATGTGCTATAGCGGAGTAAAGAATCCAACCCTTTTCTGACGAGCTAGCTGGCCTTGCCACCGTGCCAGACTCTAACTCTGCACACATGAATGTAAAGGATGTTGAACGTAACAGGGATTTGGCAGCAGCTCTACCTTACACATTGGCTGTGGAGTTTTGTCGCTGTTCATTATATTAATAACTGACTTGGCATGAAATCCTAAATCACCAAGAGCTTCTTTTAACTCATCAGTGTTTACGTTGGGATCGATTCCTTTTATGACCACAGAAACATCCTTACTGCTTTTAAGTTGATACGTGTAGTACTTCCAATTTATAGCTTGTAGGTCTCTAATAACTTCACGATAGTTTGCTTTGCTGTCTACTTGAATTTTCGTTTTATGTACATTACCTTTTGTAAGAGGCACGACATAGAAATTTTTATTTCCTACCAGTTGTGCTAAGTATTCAATAAGTGCTTTTGAGCTACGGTCGCTCAAATAACTCGGTGGAGGTTTGAGTTTTTCAGTGGATTTACTGCTAGTACTTGGTTTATTCTCATTAGCCAGCAAGAAGAAACGATTGTTTCCGAGAGGGGTTGTTGAGGTTCGATCTTTTTGGAATTTGGTGACTTTGTTCAGCTGATTTGGGTGTTTCCTTGTTTGGAACACTCGAAGTCGTGTTAGTTAATGACTGTTGTGTGATGATTTTTTTTCATACATTATTGTTCTTTGATTGGCAAAGTGTTTTTTGAATTATCTTTTTTATTATAATTTAATTTAATTTTATTTGCAGTTGCTATTTCACAAGCTATTTTTGATACATTTCTTTCTATTGCTGGTTTATTTAGGGATTTAATTGCAGATTGATCATTTATTATAGCGTGTTCTGAATTTAGCATTATATAGCCACTTAGGCCATTTTCACTAATCTGAGAATGCCGTCGTATAATTCTTTCATAATCGCTCATATAATAGGGGTATTCAGGCAACTGATTGGTTGCTTAGTTGATTCAAAAACTTCATATAAAAAAAATTTAGCATTTTGATGTTAATCAGTTGCTTGAACAACCCAAAACGCGTAATCTGATTAGTTTGTTGTGTGTAAATGCCTTGGCAGCACTCACATCAACAGCAAAAGCGAAACATACGTTAACAGCGAAAATTGTTTGCACACAATTCAAACAGCTGAGAGAGATAGCTAACAAATTTCTATACAAAAGTTCATTTTAAGTTATTATTACGACACTTGGGACTGGCAGCACTATTTATCAAATTTGTACGTATCTGAGAATCACCGAATTAGTTGATTCTCTGCTTAGTTTCATTTTGTGTATTTAAAAATATTTCAATATATATTAGTGTTTAGAGCGTCCTTTTACGTATGTATTAATTTTATTTATTTAGGATAAGGTTATAAGTTGGCTACACAAATTACACAATTACACGATTTCGTGAGTTGCAATTTGTTCAGTTTTTTTGTCCATTTCCAACACAAAAAATCAACCTAAATAAAGAAAAATCAGTGCATGTAAACTTCACAAATCGAAATGTCAAAAGCTAGACGCTAAACGTTAGACGCTAAACTAAGATGGTTAATCGGCAGAAAATCAAATCTATCGCTACACAATAAATTTGTATTATATAAATTAATGCTGTAGCCAATCTGGACATATGGAATCCAGCTGTGGGGCTGCGCAAGCATAATATAAATTTCCACAAATTCTGGTTTACATCGTGACCTTGGAGTGTCAACAATGTAAACCAAATTACATCAAGATAGATTTAATCGCCACATAAATGCTGAGGCGCATTTACTAGCGACAACTGAAACAATAAAGCGCCAAAAGCCTTGCGATCTTTGAACGTGAATTATTGAAATATACTACAGTTGATTTATTATTGCGTGAAATCGCCTTCATAAAATAAGGAGGCTCGTATCCCGGGAAAAAGTTTTGAAATCTTTTTTCTAGGAAATATGTAACCATGGGTTTTTGACAATTAGCAATTAGCAAAATGTGTCTATTTTTTAAATGTTCGTATCCTAGGCTCCATAAATGATAGGAACCTAAAATTTGTGGCATTTTAAAGATAATTTATTGAAATTTTTAGAAATAGTTTAAACAATTAAGATTGATTATATTTAAGTACTAATATTACCTAATATTAATATTATTAAAAAAAATTTTTTCAAAATGTATCCCGAAAATTTTTACTTTTTGTATTTTATTTAGGTTTCGTGTTATATTTTAATAGGCAGCAAACATTTTCAGGATGGCATTATTTTTTTTAAAGTATTTAAAATTTTTTTACTCCCACAAAACACATCAAGTACGTGTATAGTACACACGTTAAATGAATTTAAATTTCCCATTAAATGAATTTACAAAGAATATGCTACATTAAACCTAAAAATTTCTGGACGGTATTGTCCTTACAAGTATTTTTTAAAAATTAATTAATGTTACAAATTTCAAGTTTCTATCATTTATGGAGCCTGAGATATGACCAGAGATACTCCGGCACATGTAAACGTGCCGCAAACGCAAATCTTGTTTGCATGTGCAAATTAATGATTAATCTTATATTTGTTTGAAATTAATAAATTGAATTGAAACTCACTTTAATTTAACTTAATTGTATATTAAAATGGCTATGTAAATTTATATATTTTAACTTCGATTAATTATTGCATACAATACATATCTTAATTAAAATAGAATACAAGAATGTTTAAATTTAATAATAAATATTGGGAAAAAAATATTTGGCATAGTTTAAAATACATTGACAGGAAATTTTGTTTCAAAACGAATATTAACGTATAATTCGCATATCACACATTTCAAAACGTGAATGCATTAAAGCGTCTAAAAAAGGTTCTTCAATTTTTTAAAATTTCACGAATAATGTGTGGTATATTAGGGTGGCTCACGTTAAAAGGGGAAAAACTAAAATGCGATTTTTAATGAGCGCATCCCCTAGGAATATGCCATTGACCAAAAAAATGATATTCCTAAAGTTTTAGAACAATAGGATTAAAAATGAAGTTGCGCCACTCGAGCAAAGTTGGGTTTTCAGTACAAAAAACAGAAATTTTTCAATTCAAGGTCATTTTTTTATCTTTGTTACTTGTTTCAATAGTTATTAATATATACTCATTTGATAGATAATTAAAATATCTTTTTAATAAGATACTGATGCAAAATCGGTTAAAAATTATGCGCACAACACAATAATTAGTTGAGCGACTGTGCTCTATTTTCTATTTCATACCTTTTAGCTGGCATGCACAATGCAATCGCAAATGTTTACAAGAAACGGAAGAAACATAAATAAAAAATAAAAATAATATATTTCTACTTAATCATTTATATATGGTAGATATTTAAGTAGAATTGAAAAAGTAGTCAAAACAAGAATTTTTTCGTAAGCAAGGAGAAAATGGTCGTACAGGGAGTATGACTGAAGTTAATATCCTTTTAGCAAACGAAGCAAGAGCGGTTAAAAATTCTATTGATTTTAATTGGAGTAAATTCGATGAAGAAATTTGTTTCAAAATGGAAGCTGAATCTTTAATCACAGTTCAACAAAATTGGGATAACGCAGACATAACGATTAAATTTATCACTCCTAGTTTAGTTTCCGCCCTTGAAAAATGCAAGGTTTCGGATCGCTACGCTATACATATTTTGTAGTAGTAGGTATGGTTGGCAGAAAAATCCTTCTACTGAACCCTCCACGAGGGTGCCGTCTGGAAATGGGTCACACAGTTTTTTCGTCCTGTACGTTGTCAGGACGGTGCCCAGCTAAGATCAGGAGGAATTGAGTGATTGTCCTTAGCTCTTTAATAGCTGCACACCACTCAATGCGTTCTGATCATGGTTTGAAGGTCCCCTTAACTCGGGAGTGTTACGCGATCCGTGCTCACCGAGTAGGTTTGCAGTCAAGGGGTCTGTCCGACTGTATTTTTGCGGAGCCTCTCCAATATATGACCGCCTTGGGGAGTAACTGTGGTCTAGCCATGGTATGGGACGCTGCTGTGGTGGTCGCTTCTTTCGTCCAAATATCCTCGGGTCCGCCGCGCCTGTCTTACCGGGTAAGGTGGACGATTATGAATATGTTATGATTTCTCCCGACAATGTCTCGGAACTCGTGGCTGGAGAGTATAAACCCACCAAACTTACGGAGGACGAATTATTGAAATCGGACGACGAGATCGTTGCCGATTCCAATACCGGTTGTACCAGTCACAGTACACCGGCGTCCAATCCAATCCAACCAACAACCAAAAAAATCGACGGCACTCCGTCTACCAGTCAAAGTAGACCGAGTGCCAACCGCACGCCAACGCTTAAAACTGCCAGTCTAAGCAGTAAGGGCAATACAAAATCTCGGAAAAAAACGGCCAACATGGCACGCAAAAATCGTTACCAGCGAGCGCTTTTTATGCTAAAGAAAATTGAGGGCAATAAAAAAGAAGGCAAGGTCCATGAACGAGACGAAGCCGACGCTGTTAAATACCGCGCCATTGTGGAGGAGTATCTTCATGATGAAGGTCTGCGCCAGTCTGTTATCACCGGCAAGAACGTCGGAGATGGCGGCAAGCGTAACAGATCTCAGGAAGATCCCGGCAAGGAGGCGAAGCGGCACAAAGATGGAACGGGGGATGGAAAGCTAATGTCAAGACCGGCACAAGCTTCTCGTCCCTTCAGTGAAGTGGCGAGAGACCATCTCAGTGTGGCCTTGATCGACGAACACAACTCTAACGGCAAGCTGCTGATGGAGAGGTGGGCGCTGATTGAGACCAAACTGTCCGAATTGGTTATGGCTGAGCTCATGACTAATCCGGGGTCCGTTCCTTCTTTTGACTGCGCAGATATCGTCCGTGGTCACCGAGTGATCAGATGCGACGACGAGTATTCGCGGAGTTTTCTCAGCAAGGCGATCACTAAGATTAGTGAGAACTGGGACGGTTTAAAGCTCAAACTTGTCCCTGCGGCGGAAATTCCATCGAGGCCTCGAGCGCGCGTATGGTTACCCAAAAACCTTGGTCCTCCTGACCTTATTCTGCAGCAGCTAAAGCTACAAAATCCAGAAATCCTGATGGAAGACTGGTCGGTTCTCAAGACCGAAGAACCGCAAAAACACAGCCAATCGTACTTACTTCTTATCAACGAAGAATGCTTGCCAGTCATTGAGGCTAATGACTGCAAGCTGCGTTACGGCATCCGGAAGGCAAAAATTAAAATCTTTAAAAACGCGCCACCGGATAATATTCTGGATGAGGTTGAGGGCACTAGTAAGCTGCTAGATGACCTCATCATCGATAGCAAACCTTGTTGATGTATTAATGGCCAAGGTCGTGCAGATAAACCTGAAACACTCTAAATGTGCCACGGATAATCTGGCTGTCTTACTCAGGGAGGAGGACATCGACCTTGCCATCATCCAAGAGCCCTGGGTTCATAGCTCATGTGTCAAAGGGCTCAACATCAATGGGTATAATCTTTTTTATGACAAAGGACAGGGTAAGCCTAGATCGTGCATTTTAGCAAAAACGCATCTTAATGCTTTTCTCTGCTCTCACTTAAGTTCTTTAGATATAACCACCATCCGGATAGAGCGGAAGCTAAAACCTGCGATTTTGGTAACATCCGCCTACATGCCACACGACGATGAGGCACCTCCAGAGGGGGTACTATTAGTCCAAAATTTCGCGCAGACCGAGAAGCTAGCCTTGCTGATGGGTTGTGATGCCAATGCCCGGCACTCCTTGTGGGGAAGCTCGGAAATTAACGATAGAGGTGAGTCTCTTTTTGATTTTATATTAAAATGTAATCTAGAAGTATGTAATAAGGGTAACACTCCCACCTTCATTTTTCCGAGTACGGATGATCGTGTAGGCTGGGAAGAGGTTTTAGATATTACCCTTTGTTCGACTTCGTGCTCTTTAACGATCAATGATTGGAGAGTTTCAACCAGGAACTCCTTCTCTGATCATAGATATATCATGTTTGTGATGAATATTCCCATGGTAGCTAAGCAATCTCACCGTAATCCCAGGAAGACAAACTGGGATACTTTCAGGTCATTGCTCAATAGAAAAATCAACATAGCCCCCGCTCCAATTAACTCGATTAGGGAATTGGAGTGCAGGGTCAACTCTTTGACAAATAATATTATTTCTTCCTTTGAAGCATCATGTCCTCGCTCGTATGCGAAGAAGTGTAGGCCACCATGGTGGAACGAGAAGCTCTCTTTGCTCCGCAGGAATGCGAGAAGAGCCTTCAACGAAAGCTATCGGACCAAGGTTTGGACTCCATATAAAGATGCTCTTAGGGTTTACAAAAAAGCACTTCGGGAATCCAAGAAATTGTCATGGAATTCTCATTGCCAGCAAATTGAAAGCATTAAAGAATCGGCTAGACTAGCCAAATTGCTAGCAAATGGCCAATCTTGTCCCTCGCTCATTAACAAAGTAGACGGAAATCCAGTTAAATCCCTAACGGAATCCCTCTCACTATTAGTGGATACCCATTTTCCTGGTTCCTCGGGTGATCCCCCAAAGGTATTGCCGTATCGTTCAGCCAATTCTGGCGAGACTATACAGTCAGTGGTATCATCTAGAAGGATCAAATGGGCCATCGATTCATTCTCTCCATATAAAAGTCCGGGTCCTGACGGGATCTTACCAATTATGTTACAATCTCTGGGAGATGTAGCTGTAAATTGGCTGTACGCGATTTTCTGTAGCTGCTTTTCACTTAATCATGTCCCCAGCGGCTGGAGACAAGTTAGAGTAGTTTTTATTCCAAAAGCAGGTAGAACAGGCCATAGTACGGCTAAAGATTACAGACCCATCAGCCTTACTTCATTCTTACTTAAAACTATGGAAAGACTGATCGATGCTCACATCAGATCTTTACACAGTTTCGCTAAAATATCAAGGGCTCAACATGCATATCTCAAAGGTAAGTCCACAGAAACGGCACTACATGAGGTCGTCACTGTGGTGGAGAAATCTCTTGGATGTAAACAATTTACCTTAGCGGCCTTCCTGGATATAGAAGGAGCTTTTAATAACGTCAGTGTGGTAGCCATTCAGGATGCTCTCAGCGAAATGAACATCCCGGCCTGTATCTCCCGATGGATCGCTTCTATGCTTGGGTTTAGAATCATCAATGCAGAGATGGGCAATCTTAGCATTAGGAAGTGCGTCAGTAGGGGTACACCACAAGGGGGAGTGTTATCTCCCTTACTATGGATTTTAACAATGAACTCACTGCTTTTAAGGCTTAACCAGAGTGGAGTCAAAGCAGTAGCGTATGCGGATGATGTTGTCCTTCTGGTAACAGGCATGTTCCCTTCGGTGCTGAGTAGCATCATGGAGGGCGCTTTTCTGAACCTTAGTAAATGGGCCTCAAAGTGTGACGTAGGTGTTAATCCTTCTAAGACAGAACTGTTACTGTTTACCAAAAAATATAAAATTCCTAACTTTCCGCTGCCAAGATTAAATGGCCAAAGATTAACTCTTTCGCACAAAGTTAAGTATCTAGGAGTAATTCTTGACACAAAACTTAACTGGAAAGCCAACATCGACGAAAGAATTCGTAAAGCTTGTGTGGCTTTCTATGCGTGCAAAAGGATGTACGGCAAGAGCTGGGGATTGCTGCCCAAAGTGATTCTCTGGCTTTACACAGCCGTCGTTCGGCCAATATTAACATATGGATGTCTGGTGTGGTGGCCTTCATTGAACAAACAGTGCATTGTTCAAAGACTAACCAGAATGCAAAGATCTGCCTGTGTGGGAGCCACTGGGGCTTTAAGATCTTGCCCCACCAATGCGCTCAATGTAATACTTAACTTGCTACCTATTGATATTTACATCAAGCAAGCTGCTACTCTCAGCGCGCAGAGGCTTAATGATCTAAACTGTTGGCGCTCGAGTGCTTTAGGACATGGTAATATCGCATCACTCTATCCGATAGATGATGTCAGGGTTTCAGACTACCTATGTCCTCGGTTACTATTCGATAATAACTTCGCCACCATAATTCCTTCAAGAGGAGATTGGGAGGCGGGTTTGCCTACAACTCTAGGAAAGATAGCGATCTACACCGACGGGTCTAAAATGGATGAGGGCGTTGGAGCCGGAATCTTTTCTACGGACCTAATGATTAGTAAATCATACCACCTCTCAGATTCCACCTCAATATTTCAGGCTGAAGTTTTTGCCATCCTTAGGGCATGTGTTCTTGCCTTAAATATGCGCCTTCACGGAAAAGAGGTCTGTATTCTAACTGACAGTCAGGCAGCTATTAAAGCTTTATCAGCAGTCTGTCTGTCATCAAGATTAGTAGAAGAATGTAAGGAAATTATTTCTGAACTAAGTGAGAGGTCCAAGGTTACTCTAGTGTGGGTTCCCGGGCATTCTAATATTGTGGGAAATGAGCGCGCCGACGAGCTTGCTAGGCTAGGCGCCTCTTCCACGGGTACCCCTATTTCGATCCCTGCCCCTGTCAGCTACGGGCGTAGGTTAATTTGTGACCATTTTTTGCGAAAGGCAAATAGTGAGTGGACCCTTACTCTGTCAGCAGCCAGGTCAAGGGCTACTTGGCCCATTTATTCCAAATATAGAACCTCTGACTTAATCTGTAGAAATAAATCTGAGGTTTCTAAGCTAGTATCTATCTTTACGGGTCACTGGTCCATAGGACGGCATGGAGCCAGACTTGGCCTTTCCTGTGGTACCTCATGTAGTGCGTGTCTACCAACACTTGAAGAAATGACACCAGAACACCTGATGTGTTTTTGTCCAGGTCTGGCCAGAACTAGGTTTAAGTTTCTAGGGGCCCCTTTCTTCAACTCACTTAGCGATATCTCCAGCATCAGCATTGGCCAGATTCTTGCCTTTGTTAATGCCTCTGGTTGGTTCTAGTTTGACTCTATCTACTACCCACTTTTACGAGGATTTTGTGGACTCAAAACGGCTTTCATCCTTAGCTATTTGAGGAGGATTCGTCCTCCCTCCACCACAACTAACTAACTAGGTATGGTTACCTGTGTGGTTACCTGTAGATGGCCCAGGTGCCATCTAAGATTCTCGATGGATGACGAAAATCATGTACTTACTAAAAATGTTTATTTTAAGAGATCAATTTACATATAACTCTGATGATTTGTACGAGATATATACATTTTTATGGTGAGCATATGAGTGAAAATTTTAACCCACACTAGGTTAGGTTATGTTCGGAAGGCACGTGCTGACAGTTGTCAACACTTCTACTCGGAGACATATATTGCCCATTGGGATGCTCTTAAAAAATTTTACCAGGAGATGCGAGTTGCTAACCTTTATTATCCTTATTAAACCATTTGGTTTTCCAGATGAAGTTGAGGAGATGCTATAAGTTTGCTTTCGTTATCTCTTCCAAGCCAGTAAAATAAGGATCCCCAAGACATTAAAGTAGCCTTGGTTGAAGTCCTGGACAGAGACATAGGAAGTGGTTGATAGATTTTATCTCCTCTTCATCTTGGCAACTTCTGCATAATTCACTTGTTGGAGCAACTTAGGTCATAAGATTCTAGCGACCTTACAGTCTTCGCGGTTAGTTTATAAATTGATAGTCACCGTATTGATTTCCTCTATTATCCTAACAGTTTACATATCGGTGTATGTATTGAGAGGACGGCCTCTCCTGTATGCAGTTCAGAACCTCTTCTGGCCATCTCATCTGCTAGTTCATTCCCTTCAAGATTGCTATGTCCAAGTATTCGAAATGTATTACGTCCAGCAAAGAAAGACCTTATGATATTTGATGATTTAGATTCAATTGCTTTCAGTGCGGCCTATCTGCAAAAATCATGATATTTGAAGGACGAATTGTACTTTGTTGTCTAATGTTGACCTGTATTTCAATAGCATATATCTCGCCGTGAAAGACGCTGTAAGTAGCAGGGATTCGGTAGCACTGTCTTATCTGCTCCCATACCGCCTTCCATCTTTGAGCCATCTGCGTAGATAGTAACTGTAGAGATACCGGTCACAGATCCAAGCTCCCAGCTATCTCTGGTTAGATAAAGAGTGGGAATCCACTAATGAAGTTATTTTCCTCAAAGAACCTTATTGATTGATTCTGTGCCAGACTTCATATGATAAATGATTGTATAGAAAGAGGAATTAGGCTTATGGTGGATTATAATAAGATTTTGACAAAATATGAAGAGGAAAAACATTATGTTCTGCAAGTAGTCGAACATTATTATAAAAATTATCCTTCACATAGTCAGATTTATGTTATAAAACATAATAAACACAATATATTAATTACTGAAAAAAGGGGTTTTCTTGAAATTATAATTTTTTATGAATAATTAACTAAATCGTAGCATATACCTATTACGTAATTGTGCATGCCAGCTGAAAGGTATGAAATAGAAAATAGAGCACAGTCGCTCAACTAATTATTGTGTTGTGCGCATAATTTTTAACCGATTTTGCTCATCAGTATCTTATTAAAAAGATATTTTAATTATCTATCAAATGAGTATATATTAATAACTATTGAAACAAGTAACAAAGATAAAAAAATGACCTTGAATTGAAAAATTTCTATTTTTTGTACTGAAAACCCAACTTTGCTCGAGTGGCGCAACTTCATTTTTAATCCTATTGTTCTAAAACTTTAGGAATATCATTTTTTTGGTCAATGGCATATTCCTAGGGGATGCGCTCATTAAAAATCGCATTTTAGTTTTTCTGAGCCACCCTAGTGGCATATCCTTGCCATGGTGCAGATCGAATAAGGACTTCTTCAAATGGCCATGGTCATACCTCTGAGTCAAAGAAAGTAGAGAAAAATATTACTTTGTCACTGCCTAGCACTTGTCGGAATGCGCATATCCTTTCTTGATATCATTTCATATCTCCCCGGTAGCATTAGCATACACAATAATGACATTAGCTGCAATCGGCATCTTTTAATTTGTGAAGTGGCCAAACATTTTAGCGACTGTAAAAAAAATATTACCAAAGCGATTAAAAAGTGCTTTAAATTTTTTAATTTATTAGCTGATGCCATTGGCTACAATACTTATTAAAGCATAAATAGTGTAAACCAGTATT